TGCCTATAGGTCTTTATATTTACCCTTGTTTCAATCTTCGACTAATCACATCGTCTTCACCTCAACCACGATTTGTTGATAATTAGCTCCTGTTTATTTACATGTATTTCGTGCCAGCCTCAGTGGGTTTTTTGTTCTTTTTTCGGGAATATTTTGAGAACAAATATTGATCATATTCTGTCAATTATTTTCTTCTGGAAAACAGAAAACGTCTGCTCTTTTATGGATTTAATCTGATGGTGGTTCATACTTGTTTGGCTTTAGGGAAATGCGATAAAAGAAATGCTTCTTCGACATTGTTTCTTTAAAGATGTAACTTGATAAATAAACCAACCAGACAGCCTTACTGTCAAAATATCCGTGCCGAAGAAGTATAACTTGTTTTTATTCTTTTGACAATTGTCGGCGTGGCTGAGTAGTTTCAAATTCGTTATGCACTGTTTTTGCTGAGGTTATTTTACAGAAAGAAAAATAAAAGCGCGGTGAGTTCCAAGCAATAGCATACGCGACAAAAGAAGAAAAAAATAAAGTGTGCTTGTATTTTTTCGTCATGGCCACTAATGAACTGTAAATTCGCTCCTTGTGCCTATATTGCAATTGTTGATCAACGAGGTCCACCAACCGACCAACATTTGGCTGTTAAAACAAGTCAATAAATCGAACAAATGTAAGCAGCAAAGGACACACACACACACACACATATATATGTATATATGTAAGCAAATATGTGGATATAGATCCGACATTATGAAGAAAAATATGAAAAACAAAAATCCGAATATGCAAGTATGCTGTTTTAATGTTGTTTCAATGTCGACGTCAGACGTTTCGGTCTAGTAGACCCTCTTCAGGACATAGTTATTAAAACATAATTAAAATTAGACGATATTCAAGTCAACATGAAAAGACGATAGAGATAAGACTAATTTATTTATTCTGTTTTGATTATGTCCTGAAGAAAGTCTACTAAACCGAAACGTCTGATGTCGACATTGAAACAAAATTAAAACAGCATACTAGCATATTCAGATTTTTGTTTTTCCATATTTTTCTTCATATATATATATATATATATATAAAGCGAAGAGGTTATAGTAGTTCCAACAAGAGAAAAGTGTGTATATTAAAAAGTAGAGGGAAGCCGCAAACGTTTTTGGTTGTAATGTGGATTTAAAAAAATATATATTATGCTTTATTTGACATAATTTTCCTACACGAGTTTCTGGTCTCGCGACCTTCATCAGGCAAAGAGTGGATATTTCCACATATTATTAAAAGGAATTAATTATTCTTATGTTTTTCGATGTTAAATTTTCTCGATATTAGACATTCTTTTTTTTTGTGTGTTATCTTCCTTGAATTGGTAGTGAAAAAGTTCTGCATGAAGGGTACTAAAATAATTAAGATTGGTCCGAGAAAGGGTGAGAAAGATATCTATATTCTTATCTTTTAATGATCTCTGTGTGTTCTTAGATCTATTTCCATTCTTTTGTGTTTTTGTCAGCATGCATGCGCATACGTATATTCCCTCTCCATACATACATACTGTCTTACTATAAGGAATTAGTATACACGTATGCACACAAACACATACACACACATACATACACGTACATAAAAAAACACAAACACACACTTCCTATGTTGTGTAGGGTTTGCGTGTGTGATCGTGAGCAGGTTTGTTCTTGTTAACATATATATATATATATATATATATATATATATATATATATATATATATATATATATATATATCAGTACGCGCACGTATACGCGCACTGCCTCTCTCTACATAAATACTGTATATATAGATTGAAGATTGTTGAACTCAGTTTCCACTTTTTATATTTACATACACTCTATTACCCATGAATGTAGCATATCTTAAAACTATATTTTTTATATATATATATATATATATATATATATATATATATATATATGATGAGAGTAAAAGTAAAGAGGGGTGTTCGAGAAATGATAAAGAGAATGACGGGTATCGAGCTCAAAGCATCATAAGATGTCGTTTGACATGACATTTGAATATTGGAAGTTTATATCTACCAGGAACGCAAGTAAGAGGCAGGGAGTTCCATTGTCGGGAAGTGAGAGTGAAGAAGCTGTTGGAGTAGAAAAGGTGATTGCATTTAACTGTTTCGATAGTGAAAGGGTGGGACCGAACTGCCAACGTAGTAGCACGCTTAAATTCCTGCAGTAGGGATATCAGCGAAAATAGTTCCTCAGAGCAGTTACCTTGAAAACATTTGTAGAAAAGAGAGAGGGAAGCCACATATGAAATGCTTAAAAATATAGTTAACTATTGTTGGAACCGACCAGATCTTATGCATTATCTTAGGGCTCTGGCTCATTTCATTATAAATTATTAACATATTCTGAAAGAAATTTGAATTTTTTAAATGTATAAATACTATTTAAACAGTATTTGTAAATGTTTAGTAATAAAGGTATTCGCATTTTTTTAAACTTTTCGCCATTTTGATACATTCGAGATTTTAATTTCAGGATTTTAAATTCAAGGATATGCACATCCGGTATTTTAAGGTTCAAGATTATAACCAAAACTTTATATATATATATATATATATATATATATATATATATATATATATATATATATATATATATGATTTTTTATATAAGTTTTAATTATATCAGGAACTATTTTAGGGGAGTTATGATAAAATGAAATATGTTTTTCTGCTGCGTGTCCATTTTTGTAAAATATTCTAAAAGACTGAACCATTCTGACAAGCTTAACGAATTAATATATATATATATATATATATATATATATATATATATATATATAGTTCTGATATAATTAAACTTATATGAAGTTTTCCCATATAAATCAAAATATATCTTTCTACCCACCAGCTTTATCACATCTAAAATTTTAAAGAATTTATCTTACCTTAACATATTTTGTTACAACCCCATCGAAAAAATTACAAGACTGAATTGCTAGAAAAGAGAATAACAAGTTAGAATTTGAAAGAGGAATTTACTCTGTCACCTGTAATAATTGTCACAAGGAATGCATATAAGGAAAAAGAATTTAAATAAACGATTATATGAACACAAAAGGGATCTTTTACAAAACAAGAAAATGTATAAAAAGTGCTTTGATTGGATGATTTGTTTTTTACGGTTAGAAAATAATTTTTACATAGATTGTAAGAATTTTGTGGGGTGGGAGAGATAATAATGATTTTAGTGAAACAAGTCATACTAATTAACCCATAGCTCGGGGGAAAAGAGGTGGATTCATGCCTTTAGTTTAGTTTACGATCGTGAAATACGGCCAAATCTTATGGACTATCTTAGTGCTCTTGCTCATAATCTTTCATTATAAAGTATTCATATATTCTGGTTTTATATTTTTTAATAAATTTTGAATGTTTTAAATGTATAAATAAAATTTAAACAGTATTTGTAAATGTTCAAAAATGAAGGTATTTCCTTTTATTTTTTTAAATTTCTCCAAAAGACTATTTTTCGGGATTCTGATCTTTTGGGATTTCGATACATGCTAGATTTTAAATTTCAGGTTTTCGACATTCCTGTTGTGACCGCCAGATCCAGTTTTCCTTTCTACTGTTACCTATTTAAACGTATTCACCATTCTTTTGATTGATCTGGAATGGACTTGAAGATTAAAGCCGGTGTATGAATGTTGGTACCATTAATGAAAGCCTGAATGATCTTTTTCGTTTTAACATTGCTCATTTGGAAAGAGAGTGGGACTGACACAAAACGATATTAACCTGTCATCTTTCTCGCTAAATAACTCAAAGTTTTTTTCCTGTGATTCGTATGACAAATAGTGTCAAGATGTCGAAACGTCTTATATGAAAACCCGGAAAAAGTTTAGTGGATATTTAGATATTAAACATTTTGTGGTATAGGCAATTTTGTACTATTTTGCTGTGACACCTGGTATATATATATATATATATATATATATATATATATATATGTGTGTGTGTGTGTGTGTGTGCGTGTGTATATATATATATATATATATATATATATATATGGCCTGACGATTGCATCTAGCATGAAACAGTCTGTTGCCTCTGAGAGTTGACTTCAATGTTCAATTTTACATATATATATATATATATATATATATATATATATATATGTATGTATGTATGTATGTATGTATGTATGTATCCCCGATTCTAGCAAAGTTATTTAACATCTGTCTATATTTTTGAGATGAGGTATTATGTACATTTACACTATTTACATTGCTCGGACTATCATCCATATCTTTATTGCCATATTTATCACAACGTTTCGGCCGTTGTACGCTCCGGCCTTCTTCATATGGTTGGAATGTCGAACTGAACCCTTTATTTCGCTCGCTGGCGTAGACTGTTCTAATTCCACGTGCCATGTGTAATGTTCAGTTATCAGTTATCTCCTGTTAATTCCCCGCTCCAATTTCTCCACTGCCATTGCTTAAAGGAGAAATTTTCCCCAAACCACTTCAAGGTGGCAAGCGTATCGCCCGGTCTCCAAGGACGTGGGCAAGCAATCCTCTCTCTCTTCCAGTATAAATCCATTAGTCTTCTCAATATCATCAGCAAGGTTTTTGAGGACTTAATCAAGAGAAAGTTCTTCGAGCACCGAGACAGAAACCATGGGTTTCGATCAGCCCGATCCACTGACGTTCTATCATTACCTTCAGAATTAGTGAGGTTCTTGATGACACACATATTGCAAGGACCATTAGATATCTCGAAGGCTCTGGCACCGTGACAGATGGAGGAGAATAGTGGTCAGCTCAGAATATCAGATCTTCAACGCCTCCTCCCAGGGTCAAATGCGAAAGAAGTAAAAAACGACAATGTAATCGACTATTTTTGTATATATTTTTGTATATATATTTTTCCGGAACAGAATGTGTTTTATCATGTTACTTAGACACTTCACATTTGGGCGGAAATGCATTGTGACAATATCAAAAATATATAAAGAAATAAAATAAAATAATAGTAAAATATGATAAACTCGTTATCATCACACAAAAAATAAATAAATAAATAATGATAATAACAATAATAATAAGCAAACAAGAAAACGAAAGACAGTAATAAACTGATATCAATCCCAGAATTCCAAATATACGTTTCTTTTCAAAACGTGATCCGACGTCAGCTGAATGCAGATATGAAGTCAAGATGAAGGAAGCAATTACAGCTTCTTTCCGTCACTTCCCCATAACCCACAACACCCATTTCTTCTACTTGCATATTATTTTAAGTTCACCTATCGTCCGATTCACAATCCTCTTTGTTTTGTTTTTTTTTAACAGGAATCCAGGATTATCCCTTGTTTCTTGTTTTGGATTGGGTTTCCGGTTATTTCTGAAGTTTTTTTTTCCATTCTCTTACACTCGCAGTAGCCACGTGCGTCTTCGTGGCGTTATCGCCTTGCTTGGAGTAAATTGATTTAAAAAATATAGTAAGCAAAGAAAATCTATTATCTCTCTATACGTTTGCAGACCATGGGCACCGGATGAGCCAGGGAATTCATTTACACTTATAACACGTATTTGAGTTGATTGATACGTTTTTTTCAATTTATCAATCCTTTTGTAGGATATTTAAAGATAGAAAATATTTTTAGATTGTAAGAACTTTTTTTTAACAAAATAAAGATTTAGCGATACAGGTCTTACTATAGAACCAATAACTGGCTGTGGGAAAAGCTGTACCTTTCTCAAGGTAGTAAATGAATATAACGATCTCAACTGGAATTGGAACTCGACTCTTCAGAGCAATTATCCGTTATACCACCATCACTCCGAAGCTGATAGCAACTGGTATTCCCGAGCGGTCACCCAGCGAGGTACTAAAAATACGTTGCTTAACTTCGGTGATTGTACGGGAACCGGTGTTTACTGATTATTTTATGACATACAAGACAAATCTTTAGGAAAACTCCTACTTTTAAAACTCTACATCAATTAATGATTTTCCAAGCGTAGCTTAGATGCGGCACAAGGCCGAAAGTATGGGGCACCCAGTGAGGATCCAACTCACTACTCAGTCGTAATTGATCTTGCTTGCTAACCATTACACCGCATTGAGGCGCCCAACTCTACATCAATTAGTCGCAAGGACCGTGCACCAAAGAGAAAATGATTACGGTATATTTCCAGTACTTCATACACTATATCTATGTATCATGTCTCTTTAGAATGTGGCTCTCCACAACTTCCTAACCTTTGTATCTCTTAGTAAATTTTTGGCTTTTTGCTACCCCTCCTAACGCATGTTCTGCTAACCGTTTGCACAAGCTCGTCCGGTAGGTTATTCGCTGTTTACCTATGACCCTCCTGCCTTGAATAGGGCCTGTATGTGTCAGATTTTCCAGGCCCCTTTTTTTTTCGATATATTCAGCTGTCTCTCCCTTTCTGAATAAGTGTCTGTTTAAACTGGAACTCGACTCTCTGATATACAGTTCCGGGCCATTATCCATTACACCACCACCCTCATCCAAGTTTACAGCACCTGGTATTCCCAAGCGGTCACTCATCTAGGTACTGACCAGGCTCGAGATTGCTTAACTTCGGTGATCGTACGGAAAGTGGTTTTTCAACGTGAATGTGGCCGTAGGCTATTTGAGTGGAAACTGCCTATATCAATAGTGGTGTTATAAAGACAATTTTACTAGAAATTATTTCACGGCCTCCTTGATAATTGATATGTTTGTTTGCTGAGTACGAAGTGGAATTAATTAGTCGCAATTAATAACGTTATATAATTCTTTTTTTTTTTTTCTTTTCTCTCCATCAGGTTTCCCTTGCTTCTCCTCCTCTTTTGTTTTGTGATTCAATGCAATAATTTTTATTGATATTTGTCTGTTTTTCCTCTTCTATTTCTCTTTCTTTATCTTTAGTTTTGCTTTGCTTCTGCTGGCATTTTTCTCCATTCTGTTCGTTGTTCTTTGATTGCTGTTAGAACCCGTATATAAGACGACGTACGAGTAAAGTTCAAACGTTAATCTTTGTCAAAGGTTATGGAAATTTCTGATATGATTCCTCATATAGGCTTCCGAACTTTTATCGATAACCCAAGGTTGGGCCAAGTTTTATCCGTAACCCAAGGTTAGCCCAAGTTTTGTCCGTAACCCGAAGTTGGCCCCAGTTTTATCGATAACCCAAGTTTTGTCCAAGTTTATCGATAACAAAAGTTTGGCCCAAGTTTATCGATAACCCAAGGTTGGCCCAAGTTTTATCCGTAGCCCAATGTTGGCCCAAGTTTTGTCCGTAACCCAAGGCTGGCCCAAGTTTTATCGATAACCAAAAGTTGGCCCAAGTTTTATCGCTAACCCAAGGTTGGGCCAAGTTTTATCCGTAACCCAAGGTTGGCCCAAGTTTTGTCTGTAACCCAAGGTTGGCCCAAGTTTTATTGATAACCAAAAGTTGGCCCAAGTTTTATCGATAACCCAAGTTTTGCCCAAGTTTATCGATAACAAAAGTTTGGCCCAAGTTTTATCGATAACCCAAGGTTGGCCCAAGTTTTATCCATAACCCAGCATCAAAATACAATTATTTTATGACATACAAAACAACATTTAGGAAACTCCCTTTTTCTAGAAGCTCTACATCGGTTAGTCGCAAGGACTGTGTGCTAAAACAATATCATTATGTTATATTTAATCTACTTTACATTCTACTTCCATATGTCGTCTCCCTTTAGAATATGGCTCTCTACAACTTCCTAACCTTTGTATCTATTACTAAAGTTTGACTTTTTGCTATCACACATAATCCCAGTTCTGCAAACAAGCTAGTTAGGTAGATTATTCGCTAATTATTTCCGGACCTCTTGTCTTCAACATGTCCTCTTAGTGTCAAATTCTCCAGGCCTTCTTTCCTCATTATATGTCCAATAAATTTCAGCCCTCTCTGTCTTTCTGAATGGTTGTCTCTTTGTTTCGATTTTCCTTAAGTCTTCTTCGTTGCTTACACGCTCCGTCCATAGTATTCTCAGCATCCTTCTGTAGCACCACATTTCTGTTTCCTCGCGTCTCTTCTTCGTCTTCTGTGAGGAGATTTTCCAGCATTCACGGCTGTATAGCAGAACTGATATTACATAACAGTTCAGCGGACCTTTGGTTCTAACAAAATCTTCCCGTTTCATAATACTTTGCTTAGCTTTGGAGAGGCATATTTCACTATTCCAATGTGCCTACGGATTTTAGTGTCACATTTACTGTCCTCTGTTAAAACACGTGGCAAATGACCAAATCTATTTACCTGCTTGATTTTGTTGCCATATACTTGAAGTTTTCTGCTGTTCTTTCGACTGAGAACTACACAGTCTTTCTACAATTGATGCAGGGTCCTTCCTTCATACTTGCCGGCTTACGGTCATATCGTTTTGAAACACCGGTTCCCGTACGATCATCGAAGTTAAGCAACGTCGAGCTTGGTCACTACCTAGATGAGTGACCACTTGGGAATACCAGGTGCTGTAAACTTGGATGAGCTGGTTATGTAAGGGATAATGGCTCGGAATTGTTTAACGGAGAGTTGAGTTCCAGTTCAAAGAGACACTAATTCAGAAACGGGAGAGACAACTGAAATTATTGGACATATAACGAAAAAAAAGGGCCTGGAAAATCTGACACATACAGGCCCTATTCAAGGCAGGAGGGTCATAGGTAAACAGCAAATAACCTACCGAACGAGCTTGTGCAAACGGTTAGCAGAACATGCGTTAGGAGGGGTAGCAAAAAGCCAAAAATTTACTAAGAGATACAAAGGTTTGGAAGTTGTGGAGAGCCAGATTCTAAAGAGACATGGTACATAGAAATAGTGTGTGAAGTACTGGAAATATACCGTAATCATTTTCTCTTTGGTGCACGGTCCTTGCGACTAATTGATGTAGAGTTGGGCGCCCCAATGCGGTGTAACGGTTAGCAAGCTTGTCTCGCTAGATCAATTACGACTGAGTAGTGAGTTGGATCCTCACTGGGTACCGCATACTTTCGGCCTTGTGCCGCATCTAATCTACGCTTGGAAAATCATTAATTGATGTAGAGTTTTAAAAGTAGGAGTTTTCCTAAAAATTTTGTATGTCATAAAATAATCAGTAAACACCAGTTCCCGTACAATCACCGAAATACCTAGATGGGTGATCGCTTGGGTATACCTCGTGCTGTAATCTCGGACCTGCGGTTGGTGTAATGAATAACGCTTCGGAATTCATAATCAGAATGCTGATTTCCATTTCCCGTTAGGTTTGTTATACTAACTTAGGCGCAAATACCCTTAAGAAAGATATAAATCGATCTATAATCCCCCATCCATGGGTTAATTAGTAAGATATATTATCTCAAATCCTGAAAAGTGTCGATAATCCGTAAAAATCGTATCAATCAATACATACTTGTCTTTACTAACTACTGTAAGAGTCTCTGTAGTTTCCTTTCTAACTCTGGGACATCTGCATATCTTATTCTGGCCGCTAGCAATGAATCCCTGTAGGACATCTTATTCTCTCGGGATTACTTCCCTGCAGAGATGGAATGAATTCGGTGAGAAATGCCATAACTGAGCCGGCTGCTTGTACATTGTCAGTCTCTACTAAACAATAGGTTGGAGTTGATAATATTATGAAGTACTGAATATATAAAAACGAATTAAAATTAAATTAAAATTAAAAAGAATTAAAATTAATTTTACAAAAAACGTTTGCTCGCCTTATATACGGTGTTATAGACGCTTCAAGTGGCTTTTAGAATCTCTGCATAAATAAATTTTATTTTACACTATTTTATTTATTTTATTCTAATCTATTTTATTTACTCTATTTTATTTAGTTTATTCTATTTTATTTTACACTATTTTATTTAATCAATTTTATTTATTTTATTCTATTTTATTTAATCTATTTTATTTAATTTATTCTATTTTATTTTAATATATTTTATATAATCTATTTTTATTTTATTTTATTTTAATCTATTTTCTTTACTTTATTCTATTTTATTCTAATCTATTTTATTTAATCCATTTTATTTACTTTATTCTCTTTTATATTTTATTTTATTCCCTCGGCATTTTGCTCTGATTTATCTCAATCTTGCTTTAAATTAAATAATATGACTGTTGTTGACCTGAATAATTTTTATATAAGACGATTCCTTGTTCCTGTTTGCCTACCGATTCTTGATCTGAAGTCAATAAATCCTAAATTTACCACACGACAAGTGCAAAGCGAAAGTGACATAGCATAGCTCTACGCGTGAAGGCTGAGAGTAACTTGAAAAGACTATATGAAAAGTCAGTCAGTTATGTGCTATGCGTAATACATGTTTAGGCGATCATGTATCTTTCGATACATGACTGAAGAGGTAGATTTTTTTCCCCGTGGTAGTTTTTCGTTTCTTTCTGTAGTAAAGCAGTTGCTATCCAAGTCTATAAAAGCCACTTTGCCCTGCTATTTACCCATAGCTGTGGGGAGAAGAAGAGGATTCATACCTTTCCCAAGTGTATTAGCACATAAGTGAATGTAATGGATTCGACTGGAATTCGAACTCAGCTCTCGGATTCTTCAATTCGAGCCGCTATCCATTATTCTAGGAAATTTTAAAATTAAGGGAACTACAAAGAAACTGATACTAACAATCAGAAAGAAACATAATTCCTGGGGCAATGTAAAGAGGAAAAGAGTGCTTGGCGAATTTAACACGCACAGTATCGCTATGGGTATGACGATAACTACATTCGACAGCAAGGCCTCTGATCAGGAGGTTTTGACGAGCGTGAAACGACTACTTAATTGCTGTTTTTCCCAGGTCCACCCTGACTCGGGGTGGTATCACCACTTAGGGTCCCAGTTATGGGCAAATAGTTAACCCCCTAAATGTGGTCAAAACACTATGAAAGTATAAATATAAAAATACATTTTTATATTAAAAATACCAGTAATAAATTTTCATAGTAAAAAAAATTACCAACAATATATTTTTGTAAAAGAAATTACTAATGCTGCCAAGAAAATTAATTTTCGGCATTAAATGACACATAAGGAGTTGATATGCCGCTAAACAAACAAGAGTAGCAACAACGAAGAAATAAATGATTTGACGCGTTTAATTGACTGGATAAGTGAACAGGTAACATAAAATAAATATTTGTGATATAAGGGACAGGAGTGACAGCAATAAATCGGGAAGTTGTGGAGAGCTATGTCTCCCGTAACCTGAAATAATATGGCCTGTGTAAGAAGAAGTAATGTTCATATCCTTCTATCATCTTTTAAAAATCTACTACCGTAGATTAAAGGGTTAAAGTCGAAGTTCATTGAACCCGGATTGACAGGGGATTCTCCTACCGGATTTATTCCGGAGGGATTGGCAGAAGATGAGAAGCGGTGTCCCGTCGGAGTAGATGCTGCGGTTGTAGTATCTGTTCCGTGCCGGAGGCCTTCTCTCCTCCTTTGAGTATCCCCACCTTGTTTGGTAGCATCAGTTACGTAGCGGTGATATGACCAAGTAAGACCAGCTTAAAGAAGCTTTGACCAGCGTAGACAAGTTAAGACTAGCTTAGACCAGCGGCCCGAGGGGAAACACTCGCGACCCCACGTTAAAACCCGACCTTGTGTCACAACGTCACTCAGTGGAAGGTCAATGTAAATCTCGAATCCGGATCGACAGAAGACAAAGAAACGTAATGATAACAGTAAAGACGAAGACATTAGTTCGAATGTAAATAATTTGTTAACAATCTAAATTCTCTTTGATTCAAAGAAATTAGGTTATTCGTTGTAAACACAACGGAAACGGTGAAGTCACTGGCAGTTAAATTTATGCTTAATTTTTCATGCGGGTCAGAGGGAGAATAGTCTTCGTTGTTGTTTGGACGGAATTTACGAAGTGAATTCATATGCCGGATGTTACGGGCGACGTCAGTTTTAACCGTAAAGTCTCTAATAAAGGGAGATAATTAACTCGACAGTCAAATAGCGTTTAAACAATGATTCCCCGCAGAAATCAATTTTCAGACGAACGTAGACCAGTACAAGTTACATAATGTGAACTAAAACACAACGACTCAAGCAGCTCCATGCTGCTTGAATACAGCCTGCTCATGCTTGTGGAAATGCAAACTTTTGTCCGCATTTTTGTTTTCTTTCACGATAAAGTGGAATTTTTTTTTTAATTTTATTTTCTTGGTTTTTGTTGGTGTTTTTCTATTCTCTCCTATTCAGCGACCAAAGAGGAAATAATGACTGGTGCATTATGGATAATGAACTGCTACCGGGAACTCTTAATATGAATCTATTTGGCCTACGAATAGCTATCACGCCGTGTGGCGGATGGCAGAGTATTGTTCGCCGAAGTAAAGTTCCATTGAACGCGTTACTTTACCAGTAAAAAGCTTGATATGAGAGGGAATGACGAATAATGTGAAACGGTGGGAATAATTGATTCTTGGTTACGCACTCGAGTCTATTTAAACGAACCTGTCTCTAATTGGGACAAGTAGAAAAGGATGGACCGGAGCAGGGGAAGTGAAGATCATGAATAAATAAATAGATGGGTTTTGAAGAAGAAAAAGAAGAGGAGTAAGGACTGATCAGAAAGAGATAAAAAGGTATTCTAGTAAGAAAAAGAACAACTAGAAAAAGAAGAAACGAAAAAGAAATAATAATAATAATATGAAAATGAAGAAGAACAACAACAAGAGGATGGACAAGAATAACAACTACCACAAACTAGAACAAACAATATTACGAACAAATAATAACAGTAAAAATAATAATAGTAGGAGTAGTAATTCTTCTTCGAAGACGAAGAAAGAAGAAATATTACTACATAAAAGAGGTGTTAATAGAAGAAGAAAACGGAGAAGAAGAAGAAAAAGTGACCAAAAAGAAGACATGGACAATAGCAAGGACATAAAGAAAACGAAGAAATATTATTGCGAAGAAATAATGATAATATGAAGAAGAAGAAGAAGTAAGAATAGCAAGTGGAGGGGCAAAAAGATAGAACAGCAACAAAAGAAGAAGAAACGATGATACGAAAAAGTAATAATTATAATATGTAGAAAAGGAAAAAAGAATAAAGAAACAAATCCTGCTACAGAAAAAGAGGTATTAATAGAAAAAGAAGAACTGGTCAGAAAGAGAGCGTAAAAAGCATTCGAGTAACAAAGAAAAATAAAATCCTTAAGTGTTTTAAAATGTGAAAATAATAATAATAATAATAATAATAATACAACGACGAAGAAGACGATATGTATTACTACATAAAAGAGGTTTTAAACGAAGAAAAATAAAAAGAAGAGAAGAAAAAAAGCATTCGAGTAAAAAAGAAAAAACAAAATCCTTAAGTGTTTTAAAATGAGAAAAAGGACTAAAAATACGAACAAATCAGAAGGAAATAGAAATAAGAATAAAAAAAAAAGAAAATTGCCACAAATATGCGTCTGTGAGTCAAGCTGTAAAGGTACTTTTAAGGGTGACCTACAGAATAGTTAAATAAAAATAAGTGCACTAGAATAGCTATTGTTGGTGTTTTAACTTCAAGAAAAAGATATTCATTGCTTCTATCAGTCAATTAATTGACATGCGAGATATACGCTTGGATGATAATGTCGCTTTCAATTCATGACTGATTAGCAAAAATTTTCCTGTAGTCGGTTGCCAGGCCTTTCTGTGATATACTGGTAACCAAGGCAGGTTATAGGATCTACCATGGCCTGGAATTCAACCAATAGCTTGGGGGAGAGAAGGACTGATCAGAAAGAGATAAAACGAATGTCACGAACTCATCTGGGATTCGAACTCGGCTCTCCGATTTCCAATCCCACAGCTTGGGGGGAGACAAGAGACGGCTTCATTCCTTTCGCAATGGTATTTGCGCATAAATGAATGTAACGAACTCAACTGGGATTCGAACTCGGCTCTCTGATTTCTCATCCCAATACTAGGGGTGGGGAGAGAAGAGACGACATCATTACTTTCGCAATGGTATTTGCGCATAAATGAATGTAACGAACTCAACTGGTATTCGAACTCGGCTCTCCGATTTCTCATGCCAAGACGGTATCTGCTACACCACAAAAATTTGCAAAATGGAAACATAAAGACATTTATATTTAGATTTACCGTTTCGAATAAAAATGTTGAACTTTTTAGGACTCATAATGAGGTGTGAGTCTTTCGATACGTTGAAACCTCAAGAGACACAGTAAATAGTTTTCATAAGCTCATTGATACTTCCATATGCTACAAATTCAAATAGAAATTATATATAATCTGTTTTTTGTAACAATAACGATAATCTCGCGCAGCATTCACATTTAGAAAAAAATATTATATAAAAGTTTCTCAGTGTTTTATGTTTTAATATTTTATAATAATTTACATGTATATAAAATCTACCAAGAGCATTAGATGTGGTGTTATGCAAATTAGATTGTATATAAGTAGGAAGGTCTCTACATTTGGGGTGAGTTATTTTTCTTTGATAACACTACGTACTTGTGAGAACTTTGCACAACACAACATATATATATATATATATATATATATATATATATATATATATATATATATATATATAATGAAAAGTGAATATAAATATAAATAAATATATATATATGTATAATTATTTATATATTATATATATGGTATTTATTAGAAAGCGCTCAATATCAGAGATAGAGCTAACATATTTGGTTGGATAGATGTCACTCACATCTATCCAACCAAATATATATATATATATATATATTATATGTAAATTTCGGCAATCAGATAGCTGTTAATGTGTTTTTCCCTGTGTAGTATGAGAACAGTATAAACATTGCACACATTGTCTCACCAATCAAGCAAGGATGACATCTGTACTGAAGAGGTGACCTGGCTTGCTCCCAACCATTCAACTTTCCCAGTTGCGTCCTTGCTGTTCTTGAACAACCATTACTGTGTACGGATGGAACTTCGGACCAATCTATATAATGCTCTTGACTGCTCGATCAGATATTCCCAGACCAAAAGCATTTTTACGGACTAAACATAGAGGAGAGTGCAGAAGAGACTGTCTCACTGCCTGGACATTTTGGGGAGTTCGAGCGCTTCGTAGTCTTCCAGGTGGCTTTCTTTTAAGCGCTGAATTTGTGGCCCTGAAACCGTCAACCCATAGCAGTATCGATTTTCTATCTGAAAAAGCATATTTTCGATATAAAGTTGAAATGAGTCCAAAAAAACCGTGTTGTAATTACATATTCGGCAGTCTTAAAAAGACATTTCAACAGTAATCCCAGCGCAGGCACCGTTTCAGAACAAGACGATAACTGATGCTATTTGAAACAATGGTAAGTCCGAAGACACTATTGCAATTTGCTTAAGTTCTCTAGCAACACGCAGGTGACAGTTTAAAATGTGGGATATATTTCTGCCGCACACTGCATAACCTACCATATCAGAGGTAAATTAAGCAGTCTCTCTCAGACGTCACAGGAGAATGTGTCGAACAGGTGTTCGACGGGGGCAGTTCATATCTAGACTAACCGAAGTTAACTGAGTACGTAAAATTATTCTTTTCCTTACCACATTTGTAACAGTCGACATCCCTTTCTCGGGAATAGGTCTTTTGGGTAACTGCGTCATTCAAACATATCAGTTGCTCACTATAGCGTTTTGCTTTAAAATTTGATTACGGTATGAGGAAGTCGTAATAAAGAATTCCATTTTAATCTGAAGAAATGCACAGAATTGTTTCCTCCAGTAGACTTTGGTTTTATCTTTTCTTTTTTTTTTTAATAACCATTTCACCCCGAACAAGGCGATAAAGACACTGGGACGCAAAGTGTTTCTTGGGATGAAAGACAAAGTAGAGAAGAATCTGAAAGATTCAAAGAGACAGGAAATGACGATTGACGTTACATCTAACTTTTTTCTAGATTGTAGTTGATAGGAAAGAAAGAAACTGGAATTAGACAAGCGATACGTGCGAGCGAAGAGACTATCAGAACAGAATTTACGATTACATTTGAAAAATTTTCACAATAAAATGATAAGTCCTAGCAAACAATCTAGTATTACATCGAAATCCCTTAATTCGAGGTACCTAAGATGGAGGGTCATCAGAACAATTTGAAAAATCCTGGGAATTAAAATTAAAATTCGTAGATGAAAATGGCCATTTACTGAAGTTATCTTAATTCCAATTGTAAAGAAAATTTGCTCTGTTTAATGAAAATAAACATTGAACGCTCTTTTGTGAGTCAGTTTTAACATATTTCAAATTCTATATGTTGTATTAATAGGACTCGCCTAGATTATACCAAGAGATTACTACCTATATATATATATATATATATATATATATATATATATATATATATATAATTTTTTACAGGCTACCCCACGCAGCAAGATGTGGGACAAGGCTGAGTTTAAGTGGGGTACCTGAGCCCGTAGGCTCGGGGAAAATTCCTATAGACCACGTAAAAACGGAGTCAGTTTATATATATATATATATATATATATATATATATATATATATATGTGTGTGTGTGTGTGTGTGTGTGTGTGTGTATAGGTGTTCAAAAATGCCCTGATTTTGACTTCCTATAAATGCATCAACTGTTTTATTTTTCAGATCCACGTGTTTAATATTCAATTTAAAACGTTAATCTTATTTGTCAGTCAATAAACATAGATATTTATTAATTTTAACAATTAATCTTGCTTGCAAGTCAATAAACACTGCATTTATTTATTGTCATTTATAGGGTACACATTTTGGGAAACACACTATATATATATATATATATATATATATATATATATATATATATATATATATATATAAAGAAATATAGTCTTAAGGTGTGCTATATTTATGGGATAAAGTGCTCGATATATAGATAGAGCGTGTGTAAATATAAAAGTGAACATATCATCATTAGAGGCGACAGTCGATTGCATGCTAGATGCAAGTCATGTCGCCTCTACGTGTTGACAGACTGTTCACTTTTTATATATATATATATATATATATATATATATATATATATATATAAATGAATTGATTTTATTTTTTAATCCAACATTTTTATTATTTCAATCGCCTGCCGTTCTCCTTACACGAGAGCATCTAATAAAGAGGGCATATTATCTTTATTAATTTTTTTAAGTACGCATGATGAGAAACGAAATGAATAGAATTTAAAATAAACGGAGCGTCTACTCAGATATGGGTATCCACTAAAATTAATGTTTGAAGCATTATATATATATATATATATATATATATATATATATGTCTACGACTTAAACGTTATTTTTAATGGGTAAGAATATTTGAGTACACGCTCCGGAATTACCGTATGTACATGAGGAAGACAAAGCATAAGCCGAACAAATGTGGTGATCGCTATTACAAAAATAAGGATACTAGTCGAAATAATTCATAGATCAAGACTTTTATTTTTATTAAGTGCCGTCTGACTCAGTTCTTATTCCAAATCCCTTAATATAAATCGTTATTCTTTCTTTTTCTTTTTCTTTCTTTCTTTCTTTGATACTCTGTTGCGTATTTTCTGTCTTACTTTCCATTCTTTCAAAATATACTCATCTTTATTCTGTTTTCTTTCGATATTATTTTCTCTCTTTCTATGACATTATCTTTTTCTTTTTTCATTTTCTTTTTTTTCCCCTTTTTTTATTTTTTTTAAATTCCATTTTTTTTCTTTTCCCCCTTTATTTCCCCTTTTCCCCTTTCCAAATTTTTTTTTCTTTATGCTACAAAAAACCTTTTATCCTTTCCAAAAAATTTAATTTTTGAATTTTTTATTTAAACCTTTTAAAAACAAAAAACAAGCTTTTTCTTTCAAATAAACCCCTTCCCAAAAAAAAATTATTAAAAAAACTTGGGGGAAAAAAAAAAAAAAAAAGCTTTTATCCATGTTTTTAAACAAACCCAACCCCACCATAATTACACCCTTAAGCCAAATTAAATTGGTAAATGGGAAAAAAAGGAAAAAAAAAGTTCCCCAAGAAAAATTTTACAATGACAAAAACCATTTCTTTTTCAAATAATTTAATTTTCAGTCAACCCTTTTAAAGGTAAAAATTTGGTGTATTTTGGAAAAAAATTTGGGGAAAATTAAATTTTCAATTTTTAGAGGGGGCACCCCTTTCTTAAGAAAAAAAC